GGCGAGAGCTCTGTCCAGGCGATTTCTGACGAGAGCAAACTGTAACAGAGGCGATTTCCAGCTAGATCATTCGGAAGGCAAGGCAATTTCCGACAAGAGCGAACGGTGGCCAGAGCGATTTTCGTCCTTACACTTCAGTCCACATAAGGTACCGTTCGGTAACTTTATATTTTCCTTTCCTTTCGTTATGCGTACGTCCTTCCTTGGTTTGAACTAGACTTAGAAATTTATGCAAGTGGGGTGTGGTTCGGTAGTCTAGTTGCCATAGGTAGAGACGTAGGCATCGGTAGGATAGTCCTCGGAATGGCCCTTAGTTTCCTTTCGTTGCTTTTTGTAGATGTCTGATAGCAAGTCTGGATTCGAGAGCGAGCCCAACGTTTACGATGGAGAGTCTCCCGACAGACAAAAAGGTATCGAGAGTGAGGAGTCGGGCCAGGATACCGAGAGCGGTAGTGGCTCCGAGGTGGAAGTGGTTGGCGAGAGGTTTAGACCTGCGCCTACCCATGGGATCGGCAAGGGGCTCATGACTAGTCAGCCCCAGCCGTTAAGGGTCGTGTATAGCGACGGTAGGCAGGCTGACTCGGGCCTGCACTCCGAGCCTCAAGTGGGGGACGCTCGGGTGCCGGAGGCATCTTCTAGTCACCGTCCGGAGGCCTCCACTTCTGGTCGTTGAGAGTCTTCTGAGCCAATTCCCCAGCTGAGGGTGACGATAGTGAACAGAGGGAACCCTAGGGCTCATTATACACGAGCCACAGCAACATTGCCTACGGCAATTGAAAGCTAAACTCTTGTGTGTTTACTACCGATTCCAATTTAGCTTCGTCTATTTTTTAAGTTTCTTGACAACATCCATTGGGTACGAGCCAACGGCAGTACAGTGCTCTGGAGTTACCTATGGTATTCTCATCACGTACAGATTACTTGACTCTCTGATTGCCGACAGCAATGTCACTTAACTGAAAACGATCTAGGGGGAATACGAGCCCCTGTTTATACCCAAAATGAACAGCCAATGAGAACAGGACACGTGGAGGAAATCGAGCCTAGTCAGGGGAGCCCTCGGCACCCTACTTACCGATCGCTTCATTAGGGCAACACCCTCTCCAGGGATACGTGGCAAGCTCTCAAGCGACGTCCACAGTCCCACATCGAAATTATCAACAAAGTGCACACCTTCCAAGGCCTATGAAGGAGGCCAACTACCCTAGAATAGAGGTAATCAGAACTTACGGCATACAAGCCTATTGATCTGTCAGTTGAACTTTCTAATCCCGAACTTACTTAAGTATCGGAGAGCCTTCGGCCGATACCACACCGGTACCCTAGGTCTTACCGAGCGTTTGCTCATATTGCAAATCACACTCACTGCCGAGGCCATTAAGATACCAAAGGTATAAAATTACTAAGTTGACCCTCAAAGTCAGAGAACCACTTTTTGGCATCAACAAATGGCTTATTTATGTATATGCCCCCTATGCTTTTAAAGTAGTCTCAGATTACCACATGTTCTTTTAAACGTCTCAATATACCACTTACACTTTTAATAACTGTCTCACGTTACCTATTCCGTCAGTATTAAGAGACATTCCGTTACGTGATGTGGCCCTCACTTCTTTTCAATCGCTTAACAATTTAGAGGAAGGGTTATTCAGTTTGAAAAAAGGGGGTATTTGGGAGAGAAGAGGAAATTGGGAGAAGAAGGCTAGGGTTTATGAAAATATGAGGTGGGGTTCGGATTTGGGAGAATCTGGAGAAGAAGGTTAGGGTTTATGAAACTCTAAGTTCGAGTTCATATTTAGGAGAATCTGGAGCAGAAGATTAGTGTTTTGGAATCTCTGAGGTGGAGTTCGGATTTGGGGATTTCAAATTTGGGAGAAAATGCGGAAGAGGGGTCGCATGATTTGGGAGAAAAAGGGGAAAGGGGATTTCAGATTTTGAGGTTCAGTTGCATCTTCTCTGTGTGAATACTGACTGAATTGAAGAAGACATGGAAACAGGAGAAGCAAGGCATGCCCAACGATGTCATTGTGGGAAGTTAGCACGGATGCAGACTTCGTGGACCACTTCAAACCCAGGGCGGAGATTTCTAGTCTACCCAAAGTTAAAGGTAAGAATGTTTAAGATCAAATTTTCAAGCATTGTTTTGGGCATCACAAATTGATAGAGTTCTTATTGATCAAATTTTTAGTCTTTGATCAAATTGGTCAAATTTTCAATCATTATTCTGGTTTTGGGGTGGAACTTCAACCTATTTTAGAGAAACTCCACCCATTTGCCATGGAAAAGGGCAAGGGGGGGCTAGGGCAGACACTATTCATGTGAATAGTGGCTGCCCTTGCAAAAAGCAATGTGTGTTTCCACCCATTGCCATGGCAAGGGGCAAATACTGTTCACTTTTGGTTTTATTCATTTATTTATTTTATTTTAAACCTAAACAATTAACTTGGAGAATATTTTTATTTATGCTTTGTTTATGTTTTATTTTTAGTTATCTTTGGTTTTTTTTTTATTTATTTAAAATTATGCTTTGGTTGTGGTTTTTTCTTTTAATTATATTTTATTTGATGTATGGAATGTGTTGAAAATTTTGTGTAGAGAATGAAAAATAATAGAAGGGGAAGAAATTATATGAGGATTTTGTGTTGAAAGTGAAGAAGAATGGTAGGTATTTATAGAAAAAAAGTTCTGAATTGTTTTCACATTTTTTTGCCCAAAAAAAGCCTAGCCGTTGGATTTGAAAAAAAAAATAGCATCGGCGCACCAGAACGCGCCACGTGGTAGAAAAAATTTGAATTACTACGCTGACGTTAGGCTGGTGTCAGCAACCTTCAGGCTTAGCCTCAGGCTAGTTTCGCCTGCGGGTTGGCCCAGTCTCATGGGACCCATGGCCTGCTCGGGCTTCACAAGCCCGTTGGAAGCTGCTTTTTGGACTCAGGCCCTATCCTACCAGGGCTGCTGTCAACTAGTGGAGTTGCTCTTATAGTATCAGACTGGGTTTGCCCACATGTGACGCTCAATGACCGTGCACGTACTCCATGTCACCCAATATATGTTCTCACGCACAGAGCCAGAAATTTTATCAAGAAGGGTCAACCTTAAATAGCAAGAATGAGAATTTTGCCTAATTGATTGGCTCATTCGATTAAAGAAATCACGAGAAATCTTAGGAATTATGTGGTGTGTGTATGTGTTAAAAAAAAAGATACTACTAGAGCCAAGAGGGATTTTGTAGTGTACTTTAATTGTTATAGAATTTAAATAGTAAACAAAGAAAATGAGAATGAAAAAGTTAGTAAACTCAAAAGATGAGAAAGGTCAGCCATGTAATATAGAAAGTAATTCAGTCAAATACAACACATACAAAACACAAATTATCAAAGGGTGAGAAGGGTCAAGTGACCCTTGTAGGCCTTAATTGGCTTCGCCGAATCTCACGTATTATGCTTAGTCCAATGACCACATATGCTCCCCGTCATCCAATATATGTTCTCACGTGTTTACTCAACAACAAAACCTGAAGAAAAAAAAAGGTATGTTTATATGGGAGCAAATAGTTAGGGTATGTAGATATGTAGAGAATTTCCATCGCCAAACTAAGGGAGCTTTAGTTTTAAACCATAATATAGTTTACTAATTTAGTAGAAAGAAATACAATTTAGTCTAATTAGCAAAAGGCCAAACACCAAAATGTAACAAAAATACCATTACAAAATATGAAAATTACAACATATGCCATTTTCAGTATTTAGTTTTAAACGAAAGCTGAAAAACGACATCAAACCAAAACGACATCAACCGAAACCGAAATTGAATCACAACCCATTCGCGCGACCTTTCAACTTCACCTCCAGAAACCTCCAGACCACCAACGATCATCGAAGACCACCAACCCATTCACATGACCATCATCGAAGACCACCAACGATCGAAGCCGATTCTTCATCTCAGTTTATGCGGTTTTCTGCATCGCAGTTTCGTTTTCTGTATCGCAGTTTCGTTTTCGTTTTCGTGGAAAATAACTCCGAAATTAACCAATTAAACCTCAAAATTTCTGAAATCTTACCCAACTAACAGCTAGATCGTGGAAAATAGCTAGAAAACCATACCTTAATCTAAGGATTTGAGGGCCGGAGGAGAGAGATCGAGGGATTGGAAAACCGAGTAAAAATTCGATCAAAATCGGGGTTTTCCGGCAAAACAGCAGCAGCAGAGGTAGGAGGAAGGTCAGAGCTGGCTTGGGGTGTGACGCCGGTCAAAACTTGACCGGTCCGGTGGCTGGGTGGCCGACGTGACAGTGGCTGGGGGGTTTTGTCGGTATCGGTCGAAACAGAGGGGAGGAGAAAGGGAGAAGATGCGGGGAGAGAGAGAGAGAGAGAGATTTGAGAAACTAACGAATTCGGGTTAGGTTTTTAAATGAAAAGGGTATAATTGTCTTTTTAATAACTAATGTAAGGTGGGTCAACAAATCTGGTCTTCCTCTTTGGCCTAATCCAAAATAACAATTCTTTTCTAGGTATTAAAACCCAAACCAAAATATCAAATGTCTTAAATACTAATAAGTAAAGTTATCTATGTCTAATACCTAATTTTCCTCCAAACTAATGAGTAGTGGAATCTCTCTCTCTCTCTCTCTCTCTCTCTCGTTTTGGTTGGAGATGTCTTTCTTTTCTTTTTTTCATTTCCTTTCTTTTTTTACCCAAATATAGGGACGTGTATAGAAAATCCTAAATACTTAAAGAAAATTATATTTTCTTTCTTTCTTCTTGAAGAAACTCAAGTAAATGATTGATGAATACATTAACAGCGTGTCATTGATAATCATCCAGCTATTATAAGGGCTAAGTTTGATGTTGCAGGCTAAATATGATAGAATTCAAATGATAACCACCGTTGGCCTTCCTAAAAATGTTCTGCACCACTGGAAGAATGGCTGGCTTTAGATGCACTAAACCACACCCTACCTATAAAACATGATACATAATGTTCTCTCTCTCACAACTACTCTAAAAATATTTCCGGTCTTCTTCAACCTTTCTCTCACTAAAACGAAGAGAGGGAAAGAAGACCATTTTTGAGATCAAAGAAATTAACATGGGTAATTGCGCTAGTGAACCCAAGACCAAGGGTGATGATGCTGCTGGAGTCCCAGCACCCGAGCCCAGGACGGATGAGTCGGTCCAGGGCAACGAGGTGCACCCCGAGCTGCAGCAGGAGGAGAACAAGGCTGATGATGGAGATGCTCAGCAAAACAAGCAACCCTCTCTTGGGGCCTTGCTCAAGGAGGTATAGATATATATTAACTCCCTTCTCCCCTTAATTGATTATATAGGCTAGTGTGCATGCATTAACTTGTATATGCATTTTGGATGATTTCTTATGTTTTGGCCTATATTTTTTATCTGCAAATTACATGTTCACACACCTGTTTATGCATGTGCTTATAAATATTGATGTATCCCTTACACTATAAATACAGGAAGAAGAAAAGACAGCTCAAGTTGCGGCAAAGCTAGAAGAAGCCGAAGAAAAGGCAAAGACGACTGAAAAGAAAGAGGAAGTAGTGGTTGAGCTGGAGAAGGCATCTGAAGCAGCACCAGTTGCAGTTACCCAAGAAGACAAGAAATCTGATATTGAGGAGAAGAAACCAGAAGTGAAGGAGACCAAACCAGAAGTGGAGGAGACCAAACCAGAAGTGAAGGAGATTAAACCAGAAGAGAAGGAGACAAAACCAGAAGAGAAAGTGACAAAACCAGAAGAAAAGGAGACAAAACCAGAAGAGAAGGAAACAAAAGAAGAAAAGAAGGAGCAAATATGAAGACCTGCTAAGGGAGTCACTGTGGGCCTGTAATTCTACTAAAAGACTTTATAAAAAATTTGTGTGTTTCCAAATGTTTTGAAGAGAAAGCTAATGGATTGGTTGGGGAAGAATGAGTCTCCTTTCTCTGTTTTAGTTGGATTTGCTGGTTTACATATGGTTTTTCTTGCTGAATCTTTTTGGTATATTTCACAAATATCCTTAGATGTTTAATGCATGCGTTTTCGATTTAGACCGTAGATTTTCCTAAATCCCAGTATGACTAATTGACATTTGCTTTCGTTAGTTTGCATATTAGTCATAACAGAAAAGGAAAAAAAAAAGGAAGAAAGAATTGATTGTGAACACCAAATTTACGTGAAACTTGTTTGATGAATAAACCAAATTCAATTGAAGGTTCATTAATTTTCTTAATTCATGGACATGTACAGTCAAGTTTCCGTAGGTCATGCTTGTTCACACGTTTACACATTAATGATCAAGTGGAATAATTTGAAATAAAGAAATTTCTTTTTAGAATATAATTGTATTCATAAATTAAGCACAAAGACCATCAGTCACGAAGGCCATACAAATATGAAAGCACAGTAACCACATGGTTAAACACAACAAGCGCACACGAAGTGTATCTCCACTAATAGCCACGTAAGACCACATCGCCTGCCCTATCTCGTGGTAGCGCCACCACCTTGACGAAACCTCTTTATCTAAGTTTAAATATTTTCCTTCATTCAAAGCAAGTTAATGTTTGCGTTTACAAATTATAAGATGATGATCCCATCTCTCAATTTGTGTTTTGGATATTTATGGTTCCTCTAGATTTGGTTGAGAATGCGGTGAGGAAGAAGAATCAAGGACTATTTGGAATTTCGGTGAATGAGAGTTAAGAAAAGAGCATACATATACATATATGAATATAATGTGAGAGAATCATAGGATCTTATATCCATTCTCATCGATTACATCCCATATTTGGTGTTATTTGGACGATAATCATTGGTTTTCTTTGAATTTGGCTGGAAATTATCATTGTTTTGGATGATTATCTATTTATTACTGTAAATTCTACAAGACAATCACATCGAAACTATTGGTCTAAACACGCAGTTTGAGGACTAACTTTCAAGCCATAAATGATTTTTTACTAACAAACATGGTTCAAACAGTGTATTTCCTTTATTAAGTTGTGTTTGTAACATAATCAACCGAGCACATTTGGCTATGAGGGACTGGCGAATAGGCAGATCCACAGCTTGCCAAAGGTAAGACACTGATAACGCCATCATGACCTCAACTATCAAAGACATCTCCCTTCGATATGGCAATAGCCTACTGAAGGCGATTGCCGAAGCTCTCAACTACATAACCTAAGCCTTGGACACATGTTGTCACCACCAGTGGCGGATCCAGGAATTTTTCAGGGGAGGTGCAAAATGTCACTCATAATTAAAACAAATAAAAGTTTTACGTCTACAACTAATTGATTATAGTCTATATGGATATCAATTAATATGAACAAAATCCTTGTCATTGACACAGTGAGTTTACCAAAATTCATATCAAATATGAACAAATCCATGTCAATTACATAATTAATCTAACAAAAGTTAATACCAATTAATCTAACCAAAATTTACCAATTAATCTAACCAAAAGCACATGTAAATTGGAGGTCATGAAATAAAGGTACACGTGATTAGAAGTTTGGGGTAATTTTCGGTGAATTTTTTGGCACACATATGAGTATTTAATGAATTTTTAAGCTAGGCCAATTAGAAATAGACATGTGTTGGCTTGCTATTGGGCCATTTAAAAAAAAATCAAAATCAGAAGCGCTGATGCAGAGTCTTCTTCTTCCTTAAACTGTGCCTCTGCAAACTTAACTTCAAATATTCAAGAAAAACTTCAAAAATTCATAACTTTGGTTATGTAGCTCCGATTGATGAACCGTTTTCTCCTACATGCTCGTGAGATCGAGCCCAACAATATAAGGTAAATATTCAGGGTCTCAAACAGCAGCAAACAATACAACGTCTTTGAGGCATTTAGTCGAACAATTGGTGGGCACTAGCGAAGAGGCAAATTCCAGCATCCCCAAGGAAGTTTCCGGCGAGGGGAGGTGCAGCTGCAGCTCCTTGCGCCTCTGTGGATCCGCCAGTGGTCATGAGTACTAGATGGCGCTAGACTAGAGCTTTAACTGTTCTTGGAAACTTTGTGTAAATGCTCACCCCCATTTATCTATAAAAGGGGAATAATGTCCAGGTAGAAAGGTAACTACTTTTCACCTTTATTGTTACTCTGTCAAAATACTGCGTACCCCACACTTGCTGACTTAAGTATCGAAGTGCCTTCGGCAGGTACCACACCAGTACCCAAAGCTTGACGATTGCTTCCTCCATCCTTCTTTTGTAGGATGACCTTATGACTGAAGATCCCTCTTTCCGAAGGTCCACAACCCCTTAGTCCTGCTGAAAACTCCACACTTCTTCTATCTAAGTTGAATCCAAGTTTGGACATTGACATGTTTTTTCCCCCCTCGACCTTTGTTTTCTATTATTGACTAGGGTTTTTGAGATGTGGTTGTGTATATTCATATCATGTTGCACGTGGGATTTTGGACATTGTTGCAAAATTAGGTACCCATTGTTTTTTTAAAATTTGGGAGGTTATAATTGGATATAACTGCGTTATTATGTGGGTACATTTTGTCAATTTTTAGCACCACATATGTAGGTTTTAGCTTCTCTTCTCCACATTGCACAACTTGACTCTTTTGCTCAATCTTTTGCTGCTGAGTTTGGACAAGTCATTGTGTTTATTGAGTTTATCTAATTCTTTCTTTTTTCGATACAAATATGCGTGTGCATAATCTTAAGGTCAATGGCTAAAACTATGATGCCCATAATCTCACATTGTGTTGTGCAGTGTGTTGAGAAGACTTTCAGCTCAGACTGCGGTTATAATGACGACTCCTCCCCTTCTGCTACTTCATCTCTTTCTATATTCACAAATTTACCTGTTTATGTTTCCAAAATATAATTGTTTCATCATTCACAATGGTCTGATGGCCTTGATACCCTAATTTCCAATCCATAGAGTCACTAGGTTTTGGTTGAACAAAAAAAAAATTCATGAACTAAATATTAGTTTATGTATTACTTGAACAACTAGGTAATCGTCCAATTAGAGAGGAAAGCAAAAGAACAACGGCTATATAGGCCAATAATTTTTTCATAACAAAAAAAAAGGGAAAGAAAAAAGAAAGAAAAGGAAACCAATTTTTTGTATTGCTTAATCCAGAGCATCTTACCGAAAAGATTATTCAAGGAAATCATATTTGACAGATATTTAACCCAAAAAAAAAAAGAGGGAAAGACACACCCGGAGCAATTAAACTTCTACTAATGTTTTGGGAATTTTTAAATTAATCCCAAATTTTTAGGTCTTAGGAAGAAGAGAGTGATAGATTTGTAAATCTCTCAATATATATGCTCATTCTTCCTTTATTTTTTTTCCCTCTTCTTGTTGGTGTTTTTAATTTCAAATTAATTTGCTCTTCCAATTGAAAACAGATTAAATTTGAAAACAAAAATGGGGAACAGTTTGGGAGATTGTGGTTGCAGTGATGCAAACGATGCAATCAGAGGTGGTCCTTCTGCACCAAAGCAACGACATGTCGGCGTTCCTCCGACGACAAAAGTGGAGGACGATGCTGTGGTTGTAGGACCTGATCGGGCTATCCAGGCCTTGATTAAATCGGTACGTAATATTATTTCTACTAATACTTTCGATGGTTTTATTTTTCACATTGAGTTCTTCTTCGTTTACAGTTTACTTAATTTTGCTGTGAAATTGCTAATTGTTTATTATTTTATTCGGTTTATATCCAAGGTTCAGTTAAAGAAAAATATTTTATATTTATTTCTGCCTTACCTCTTTATTTTTTAAGATTTGTAATTATTTTGTAATTTTTTTAAACAGTAACACTTAGAATTAAAATTATCTCCCCATAAAAATACAAATTAACAATTGTAACCCATTGAGGTGTTGAGGATTTCTGAATCTAATTAGCACTTATCTCCCCACATCAAAGATTTTTTTATAAGAAAACTTTTCATTATGATGCAATGAACATAACCATAAATTCCTAATTGGAAATCTCACGTTTCAAATAAATCCTTAGATTAATATTCCTATTTTTGTTTTTACGGTTTACAAATTACTATATTTATACGTAGCCAGGTTGCCGCATAATGTTTTGCTTTTAAAGAAAGACTTGAATATGAATGGCATTATTATTCATCACTATAATTGTTATTGATATTTTTAAAATTCTATGAAAAATATTTTAGTAAAAATTAATAAGTTAAACTAACGGGTCTAGCCCAGTGGTCTTAGGTTCGATCCCTCTCTCTCAATATATCGTTTGTATAAAAAATAAAAAAATCTGAAAAGTTAAAACCACAGTTTTTTCTTTTTGGCTAATTAGTATTAATTAGTTTGTCAAAAAAAAAGAAAGTATTAATTAGTCAAAATTATTTTTCTGACAGTATATATGGCATCCGCAGATTGAAGAAATGAGAGAAAACCATCGTCAAGGGTCATCTGGAGGTTCACGTGCGTCAAAACAAGAAAAACCAAAGAACGAGGAGAGAGGAGGTTCATCACTAAGCCAGGGTCGTCCAGGGCAAAGCTTTTAGAAGCTGCACCAAATGAAAAATTGGGAACAATTCCAAATAGTCATGAAAAGAGACTGAGGGAATTCTTTTTTCTTTTTTAATATATATTTTTGTTTCACAGGAACAACTTGTTTGTACCAAAATTGACTTCGAATTTCATAGTTTTATAAGAATTTATGTTAGGCTTTAAAGTACCAATAATGACACGCCTGTAACTACATCTCACAAAGCATGTTGGAGCCCATTTTTGTTGGATTTGTTTAAATGAGATTTGAAGATTAAGAAAAAGAAAGAAAATAAGGAAAAGAGAAGGGAAAAAAAGGTAAGGATTAAAACAATTTTCTCTTATAAATTCATGCTTCACAATCACATATTTGTCTCATAACACATATAAAAAGCATTTGGGTTTTCAAAATGGAAGGTGGAGGGTTGAAATGCTTGGCTCTAGTGATTGCTGTGGTGGTGTCGATGGGTGCATGCAGAAGATGCTGTTAAAAGTGTTCGATAGTCTTGCTCTAGAGATTTCTTCCACTG